GGCCCATAGCCTGCAGCTGGGATCGAACCCGGCATCCCGGCAATACGAAGCGTTCGCATCGACTTAGCCACAGAGCCGACTAGTAGCCACTACAATTGTTATATTTGTAATTGTCATCCCGCACTTCAGTAAAACTTGTCCTGGGTTTTACTTCCAGAAGTTATCAGACAATCTTCATTAAAATAATACCAATTATATATGATACTCATTACTACTGTTCGAGCTTGAAAAAAAAAAACGTACTCACTCATTTACTCATTTTCTCAGTCAATCTCTCATGCAAACATTCTGTTACTCACACATTCATTCTTCACTCACTCATTAAATCAACTCTGTTTTCAATGTTACACACTTAAACGCCTACTGTCAATGTTACATACTGAAACGACTACTTTTAATGTTACATACTGAAACGTCTACTGCCAGAGTTACACGCCAAAATATCTACTGCCAATGTTACATACTCCAACGTCTGCTGCCAAGGTTACACACGCAAATTTCTACTGCCGATGTTACACACGAAACAGTGTACTATTAATGTTACATACTCAAACGTCTACTGCTAAGGTTACTTACTCAGACGTCTACTATAAATATTACACTCTTAACTGCTTACTGATAAAGTTACAAACTTAAACGTCTACTGGAAAAATTACACACTATAAAGTCTACTGTCAAAAATTTACAATCTTACGTGAACAACATAGTCCGAAGCAGCTGTGTTTGATGGGATATTAATCCTGCGGAGAGACACATTAAACAGAGTATGCATGTTTCATCATTTGTGATTGTATGTGTGTGATTGTGTGTGTATGTGTACGATTGTGTGTATTTGTGTAATTATGTGTGTGATCGCTCGTCCGTGCAAGAGCGTGTCGCAAAAAGAAACATTTTCTAACACCAAATGCCCAGCAAACTTTGAAGCGAGAAAACCGGTCCCTTATTTTTTTTTTTAACTTTACTCCTTCTGGAGTGAATCCCTCCTGCTGCCATCCACCTGTGGCGTGAATCCCTCCTGCTGCCATCCACCTGTAGCGTGAAACCCCCCTGCTGCCATCCACCTGTGGAGTGAATCCCTCCTGCTGCAATCCACCTGTGGAGTGAATCCCCCCTGCTGCCATCCACCTATGGCGTAAATCCCTCCTGCTGCCATCCACCTGTGGCGTGAATCCCTCCTGCTTCCATCCACCTATGGCGTGAATCCCTCCTGCTACCATCCACCTGTGGCGTGAATTCCCCCTGCTGCCATCCACCTGTGGCGTGAAACCCCTCTGCTGCCATCCACCTGTGGAGTGAATCCCTTCTGTCCTTTATAATTTTACTCAGGCTGCAGCTCAACATGTTATTCTTGGCTATCTCCAACTTCGTTTGACGTTTTTAACATACCAAGTCTGGAGAAAGGGAAAATCAAAATCATTAAGGACAGAGAGAGAGAGAGAGAGAGAGAGAGAGAGAGAGAGAGAGAGAGAGAGAGAGAGAGAGAGAGAGAGAGAGAGAGAGAGAGAGAGAGTTAAAGTAACCTCAGCCAATGACTTAACATGCAGGACCTCCTGATTTACGCCCTTATCCGAGAAAACTATGTGTCTGAGGCAAAGTGATCAAATAGTTTCTGAAAGTCGTCTGTTTTCGAACTATGTCATCCTGCACATGGGTTCAGTAAAAAAAAAAAAACAATATCGGGCAACGCTTGATAAGCTACGAAGTACAGGTTATGTTCTGTTATGTTATATTATGCTATCACAATCGACGTCTTTGCCCACTGGCCGTCCCCATGCGTGCTCCGCTGCAGCAGCCACTTCGACGTCCTCTGCTGATTTTTCCCATGAGCTGTTCTCCTGTCTTTACCTTGAAGAGGACATAGAAACGTGCTTCAATGGGCTTAATTTATTGGTGACGCAACCGTTTTAGCGTCAGAAATTCGCCATTATCCCACAACCTTGTCCATACAGAGTTCATGATATCAGCTCTATCCATGCTTCTTCCCGTTTGCACTTGCCAGCTAGTCAGCTCTTTCATTACCATTTATTTCTGCGTGACAAGGTGTGTAGATCCAGGTAATGGAGGTTAGCTGCGACTTCAAAATGCGTTCTACCCATGCAGAGCGTAGACTACCTGTAGTGATTTTCTGAAGCTTGTCCGTGGAATCTGAAACGATTACCGCGTGTGTTGCTGCTTGTTCTGCTACCAATGCGAAGTGCGTACTTTGTGTGATACTCTTTTTATTCTTCCTCTCGTTCAGCAGCTGTAAAACTCCAAGGGAATGTTCTGGTTGTTCGTTCAATTCTGGAGTCCAGTCCTGCTCCAGAATCTAAGTGTTGCGTGGGCATTAGTTTTACAGATCTGATTCACTTGAATGCAGGCTGTTTGTTCCTTGCCTTTGATGCAGATGCACTTCGACTTCAAAGGAAAATCCCATATAGTGGACTCTTACGACATGTTTTGTGTAGGCAGTGGGTCTATTCTTGTTTTCCCCACAATATGGCCCGGACCCCCACGGGGAGTGTGGTGATCAAGCTAGAGTGTCAACCGTTCTGCGAAGCGAATTGTAGAATCTTCTTCGCGTTCATCGGTTGTACACTCCGGCAGAAAGTTCTGGTTGTTAGTCTACTCCTGGACTCTAGACCTATTCCACCAACTGAGTGTTGCGTGCACATTCATTTCACAGATCTGACTTATTTGCATCAAATATATAGATCCAGTGGATCTATAGGGAGGATAGATTCACTGCCCTTTAACAATTCTGTCATAAAAGTTGACAAGTTAGGGCAGTTTCCTTCAAAGTAGAAATGCATCTACCTCCGAATCGAGGAACCAATCACCTGCATACAAATAAGAAATGTCTATAAACCTTATGTGCACGCACAATTTAAGTTCTGAAATACTGTAAAACGGATGTGAACGCAAAACTTAAGTTCTGGAACATGAGTAAACTCCAGAAGCAGACGAACAGTCAGAACATAGCGCTGTAGTTTGCAGCAAGGAAACGCCAAATGAGGAGGAGGAGGAGACGAAGAAGAATGCAGGGATCGACACTAGTGGTTTGCATCAGAACCAGACACTAATGCCAAACAGCTACCCACCCTACCACATCAAACAGTGGAGAAATAACAGATGGTCCATTCCCAAACGTGGGCTGCCCCAAATAAAGTATGACATTCAATTTTAACAGCCGGATCTTTCCTTATCATTAGGAATAACTAAATCTCGTGATAGATGTAAAATATATTATCGGCGTGTGACAGAACAGACGGAAGACTGTAGGTCGTGCTAGGTGAAGAAGTGCACACAGGTACTGGCCGGATCCGACCCTTTGATTAGGAATTGGTGACTACTGTAACTTTTGTCAAGATGCCTTATTTGCGCTTTAACAAATCAAGAGGCTGTCAAAGACGAGACAGTAGCTCACTACCAGAAGGTCTTTTGTCCAATGTTATCCTGGATAACGGCTGGCCGAACGGTTGGAACGCTGGGCGATATTTTCTTTCGGGAGCAAAATAAAATCCTCAACTGCGCAGTCGTGGTCATTCCTTAGGCTCAAAGACTACCCTCCCCCCACCCCCCCCCTGCCCACCCCCCCCCCCCTGCCCACACCACAAAAGTGGTCATTAAGGTAGTCATTGGTAGTTTTCCCATGGTATTACTGTGTTGACTATATTTCACTTTCTTTCTTTACTAACCGTAATTTTTTTTTTTTTTTTTTTGCTCTGACAAAAAGCCTATTGGGAGAAAAGATTGAGGAAGAAGCAGGTAGCCATAGCAGTACTAAGACAATATCAAAAGATGGACCAACAGGAGCCTGAGGAGGCATGCTGGGGTTCCATTAGGCAACTTTCACTGTTGAGAAGGCACCTGATTGATTGATCTTCTCAGGATTGCACTGTTTTTCCTCTTCATCTACTGTAAGGAGGAACTAATATGCTTTTTTGTAGTTTTAAAAAAATTGGGAAAAATCTTACGAGAAACGAATATTGTTTTTCCTGTGAGCCTCAATGAGCGCATTAGCGTCAGCTTCCCATGTTGTGTATTCGGGTATTTCCACAAGAGATGCGTCATCAAAGTAGTAGGAAACGCCAGCAGCTGGACCTTCCACACTCAGGGTAGCGCTTACGTATTCTGAATGATTGTTAATGTTAAAAAAAAAAGATACCGTTAAATGTTGATACTAACAATGAAGCAAAAATAAATATGCATGCATTAACAGGGACGCCAGAACCTGTGGGCTTAGCATATGCCCCTCCGCCCCACCCCGAAATGCCTAGGGTAAGGTTTTACACTTCATTCCCCCTACCCCAGTTTGTAAAATGGCATAGGCCCCTCATAACTATGTATAGAAGTTACTTTTATTTTAAATTTTCTTTTTCTGTACAGACTTCATAGCATTTAACATATTTTTAACATTAGTGTGACACTAGGCAAATACACATTATTTTAATGGTAATCATCATCAGCATCGCCAATAATATTATTATGAGGCACTTAAACAGGGCCTAGGCTCCTTTAATCCCCATTAAGTTTATGAAGGAGGCTACCTCCCCCACCTCCAGCCCGTCTTAATGTTAACTTTGTGTCAGCGCTCATGTAAGGGAATGTTAACTGCCTGCAGATTTCCATTTAAAAGTTTATTGACACTCGCAATTTCGGTTAAGACATTGTACATACGGAGCTATTGAATAATATACAGTTTGGGACATTCCTTTCACGGTTTTTAAAACTGCATTATCGTAAAACATTAGACAGCCCGTGTCAGAATTGGATAATACACAATCTAGGATATTAGTGTCGACAGAATTAAAGACTGCACAAGTCAGAAGTGTAGTAATTTTAAGTGGCAATAGTGTCGGTTTGAAAAGCTCACGATTGCACTTCCGTGTCGAAAAGAAGAGAGGATAGAGAGAAAAAAACGAAATATAGAGAGATGGGAAGCAGGAGAGAGAGAGAGAGAGAGAGAGAGAGAGAGAGAGAGAGAGAGAGTGAGTGAGAGAGAGAGAGAGAGTAAGAACGAAACAAACCAACCTACCAACCTACTTTAATTTCAAAGGGTTACATACTGGACACGCAGGCCTGTCTTACATTTTGCCCTTCCAATCAGTTATTATTTAAGCATCAATAGTATTGTTATACCTATAAAGAATGTTATGTTCATATAACAAAATACATTATATGAAGATCAAAGATATGCATGCATACATGTGACAAGACTACTGTTTCTCACTTATGAAGTATTGCTTCATAATACATTATACATTTCCTAATTCTAAAATGAAAATAGGTGAATGTGAAATTTGGAGAACAGAGATAGCTTCCTCCTTCAATGACTGTTAGCACTTCCTACTTCGTTTTCAAATAAATACACATAGCGAGTCAGACAGATTTCTGTCAGCTCATATGACTCAGTATACCACAGTAGGTGGTCATAACTAAAGTCATTATAGTGTGTTTGAGATCCCTACCAGGGGTGAGTGAATAATTATTATTATTTTAATGGATTGTAAAAAAAAACGTGCTGCCAACAGATGGGGGAAAGCTTGGTGAAATTAGTTTCTTTGTTCTCCTCACTAACCACTTTTGTTCTCTAACATGTACGTGTATGTAAGCATACGTTTTTTTTTTTTTTTTTTTTTTTTTATATATTTGTTAATAATTGATATAATGCTTACTATGTTGTTTTTTGTTTTTTTTAGGAAATTTTTTTTTTTTTTAAGAGAATTCTGACAAGGGCTCAGGAACCCACCGTGAATTG